GGTAGGTCAAAATATGGGAAAGACAGCAAAAGGTTATTAAAGTGTGATAATGTAAGTTAAAAGATAAGTAAAAACCTGATAAGTTATTCAGACCCATGGGACATTGTATTACTCTTTCTAACTAGGCCGTGTACCATTTCTGTGTGACCCACAAGACATGTTGTATATATCCTAGACAAACCAGGATATCTGTCTGATGTATGTATTATAAAACCACCAGGACATACCTGTATAAGTGACTGTTTTATTCATGTAAATATCTCCATGTATGATTTAATATGAACATATGATGTAATATATAGATATATATTTGAACTGATGTATGTAAATTTTGTGAAATAGAAAAGTATGTATAAAGAGAGATACAAATAGTTAGATACTGTGTTTGTTGTGCACTGATGAACATTTTGAAGGTATGTTTTGAAAAGGTCTAAAAAGGAAAGACCACTATTTTTTCCGTCACTTGCCACCTTAAAGGGTGAGCAAGTAAAAGTTGTCTCCCTTTGGTCCTTGTAGAGCTTACATGAACCAAAACTTCAAAACTGGTCACTTTTTTACATGCAATATCAAGTGTCTGCTTCACAGGTTTTCTGTCTTATATCATAATTATCTCTGCTTCACAGGTTTTCTGTCTTATATCATAATTATCTCTGCTTCACAGGTTTTCTCTCTTATATCATACTTATCTCTGCTTCTTGGGTTTTTATAAAGCTGGATGTCTCGAGTTAGTTGGACTTATTTTCCTAACAGTCTTCAACAAAACGATACTCGATACTCGTCTTACATTGAGAGGATATGAATTAAGTGTTAAGATGGAGTCCAATGAGGAATTGGAGGTAAATCCTGTAGCTTGAGTACGATTAAAGAAAAACCATTGTGTAGAACAAAACAAAGGGGAGTCAATTTTGTAGAAAAAGAGTGTATCAAAGACTGGCAAATTTATTGACCTTAGGATGCTATCTAAGTTCTATCAAAATCGTTACACATACCAAAACAACCCCCTCTCCCTCGAAACTGTACATATGTATGACAATATAGACTCCAGCATGAGTCAAGTTTATACACTAGACCAGATAAAAAACAATCGGGATACAATTTGCGAAAAACTTGAGCACAACCCTCAGTAATACTACTGGGAGGGAAGGTGGGTTTCAGCAAAAAATTCAGCAGCACAAAATATATATAGCAGCCCCATCAACCAAAATATATATAGCAGCCCCATCAACCAAAATATATATAGAAGCCCCATCAACCCAAATATACATAGCAGCCCCATCAACTCAAATATATAAAGCAGCCCCATCAACCAAAATATATATAGAAGCCCCATCAACCAATATATATATAGCAGCCCCATCAACCAAAATATATATAGAAGCCCCATCAACCAAAATATATATAGCAGCCCCATCAACCAAAATATATTTAGAAGCCCCATCAACCCAAATATATATGTAGCAGCCCCATCAACCAAAATTTTCTAAGGCATGCACAGATACATGCATCATCAAAGTGACTAATTAGGTGCTTAGCTATACAGCAGGAGCAGCTAGCTCACACGCAAGCTTAAGGTAAACAAGTGTTCGGTTATCAAAGGATATGGCACAATAAAACTCATAATTTTACAATATTATCACTTTATCTTACCATAAAATAAAATAGAAACAAGCAATCAAAGACTGGCAAATTTATTGACCTCAGGATGTTTATCCTAAGATCTATCAAAAACATTACACATACCAAAAGAATCCCCTCCCCCTCGAAAATGTACATATATATGAAAATATAGACTCCAAACTCCAAAACTGGGGGAATAAAGAGTGTTGTTTAACATGGTAATTAAGGTAGTGGAAAAAAGTTGTCATGCATCTAAGCGTTGTTTGATATCTGAATGACCCCAACATTGTTGGCCCAAGTCGCATCTCCCCGATGAAAAGAGTGCCCTCCATAAACCTTGGGATCTAATCCCAGGCAGTTAAGCAGGAGACGAAAAGCCTGAATAAACACTGTATAAGATAAGCATTGGTGATTATCCAGTAAAAATAAGGGATCTAGTACCTCCCCAAGTAAAGATAAGACAGCTAGCAGGGCAGAACAAGGGCACAAGGGGTGATTCCCCAGCATAGGCAAAATAATAACATCAATAGGCTTTGAACGAAACTGCAATGTTTTAGTTACTTTAAGACGAACAAGCAAGCTTGCAGGTAAAGACATGACATCAAGGCAACGCAAGTCTCGAGAAGGATCAAAGGACCCCTTCACCAAAAAATTGTTGGGACGTAGGAAGCCAAAATATTCCAACAGACAAGCAGCCCAAACAAACAAATTCGTGGAATTTTTATCCCCCACTTGCAGGACATATTGTGGGTTAACATTATTGAGGTTAGGTTTAAACATGTGAGTATCGTGCTGTTGAGACATAATAATGTATAGCTTGAAACTTAAAGGGGAAAAAAAAACTATACCTCATTGATTATCCGTAAATATGCACAAATCACAACGGTTGGCAAACTAAGCATGAGTTGGATGTGTATAAGGAATTTGGTTGAAACATCTTAACAATATCTACAGCAACGAGTACTAATTGTAATGGGGGACCATTACAGAAGTCCCCCAAAACTGCCCCCACAGTCGCAAAGATGCATCAGAAAAGGATCGCATTGCCATAGTACACCTTCCATGTACATACTAAATTTGAGTGAAATTGAGCAATTTCTAAATTGAAACCAATCAGAATCCTCTGTGTAGTTTCTATGGCAACGGAACTTATGTGATTAAATGTGCAGTCCCCTAATACCCATATATACCAATTTTCATCGAAATCAAACCATATCTAAATTTCGACCAATTAGAAGCCTCCATGTGGTTGCTATGGTAACGAAACATGTGGTTGAATTTGCAGATCCCTTTTAACCATCTATAACTATTTTCATCAAAATCAAACAATATCTGAATTTCCACCAATCAGAAGCCTTCTTGTGGTTGCTATGGTAACGTAACTGATGCGGTTAAATTTGCAGTCCCTTGATATCCCTATATACCAATTTTCATAAAAATCGAAAATATCTAAATTTCGACCAATAAGAAGCCTCCATGTGGTGGTTGCTATGGTAACGAAACATATGCAGTTGAATTTGCAGACCCCTTTTACCCTTCTATAACGATTTTCATTAAAATCAAACAATATCTGAATTTCCACCAATCAGAAGCCTTCTTGTGGTTGCTAAATGGTTGCTATGGCAATGAAACCTATGCGGTTAAATTTGCAGTCCCCTATTATCCCTATATATCAATTTTCATTTAAATCGAACAATATCTAAATTTCGACCAATCATAAGCCCCCGTGTGGTTACTAGGTAACGTAACTGATTCGGTTTTATTCGCAGTTCCCTTATACTCCTATATACAATTTTTCATAAAAATAAAAGAATATCTAAATTTCGACAATTCAGAAGCGCCACCATTTGGTTCCTATGGCAACGAAACCTATGCGGTTAAATTTGCAGTCCCCTTATACCCCCAGATACAAATGTTCATCAAAATAGAACAATATTCTAATTTCCAACAATAAGAACCCTTTGTGTGGTTGCTATGGCAACGAAACCTATGTGGCCTTATATCCCTATATATACCAATTTTCATCAAAATCAAACAATATCTGAATTTCCACCAATCAGAAGCCTTCTTGTGGTTGCTATGGTAACGTAACTGATGCGGTTAAATTTGCAGTCCCTTGATATCCCTATATACCAATTTTCATAAAAATAAAAGAATATCTAAATTTCGACAATTCAGAAGCGCCACCATTTGGTTCCTATGGCAACGAAACCTATGCGGTTAAATTCGCAGTCCCCTTATACCCCCAGATACAAATGTTCATCAAAATAGAACAATATTCTAATTTCCAACAATAAGAACCCTTTGTGTGGTTGCTATGGCAACGAAACCTATGTGGCCTTATATCCCTATATATACCAATTTTCATCAAAATTGAAAAATATCTAAATTTTGACCGATCGGAAGCCTCCGTGTGGTAGCTATGGTAACGAAACATATGCGGTTGAATTTGCAGACCCCTTTTACCCCTCTATAACGAATTTCATCAAAATCAAACAATATCTGAATTTCCACCAATCAGAAGCCTTCTTGTGGTTGCTAAATGGTTGCTATGGCAATCAAAACTTTGTGGTTAAATTTGCAGTCCCCTATTATCCCTATATATCAGTTTTCATCAAAATCAAACAATATCTAAATTTTGACCAATCATTAGCCCTCGTGTGGTTGCTATGGTAACGTAACTGATGTGGTTTTATTTGCAGTCCCTTATTATCCCTATATACCAATTTTCATAAAAATCGAAAATATCTTAATATCGACCAATAAGAAGCCTCCATGTGGTTGCTATGGTAACGAAACAGATGCGGTTGAATTTGCAGACCCCTTTTACCCCTCTATAACGATTTTCATCAAAATCAAATATCTGAATTTCCACCAATCAGAAGCCTTCTTGTGGTTGCTAAATGGTTGCTATGGCAATGAAACCTATGCGGTTAAATTTGCAGTCCCCTATTATCCCTATCAATTTTCATTTAAATCGAACAATATCTAAATTTCGACCAATCATAACATTGCACACGTCAAAAGGTGTTGATTTTCCAACACCCAGTGATGGGATCTGGCAAGTTACATGATTTGTGTAAAATAGATACCATGTTGATATATGACTTCAAACTACTATATGTGAGTTTTTTAAAGTCCACCAAATACACCACACACAGTTCTACACCATGTTCCAGCCCAGACTCAATATTAATCAGTTCAGACAATTGTAGGTAGCACCCGAGATGAGTACGATAAGTACTGGAAGTTGACTCAGTCCATCCCTTGCAAACATTTCCATATCTTTACCAGTGTCGCGATGCAAATATTTCCACATGCACGAATTCCAGCAATTACAGTACCCTGTCGGTCAACACAGAATAAGTCCAACACAAATTTATAGTTCCATAACTTTATTTAGTGTCGTAACTGCAACAAATAAATGACAAAGCTATATTTGTTATATGTATAAAGGTTACAGGCCCCAATAAGACTCTCAATGTGTAAATTGTGTCACTGACCCATAAAGTTACCATCACAAGCAGACATATTGTCCTAGGGACTTGTAGAGACCAGAAATCTGGCCCAATACTCACACTTCTACAAATCTGGACCATCCGAGATTACTTGTACAGATTAACATAACTACCAACAGAAACATCAATGTAACATTTCTGATATTATACCATCATAGACTTTACAATGTTATACATATTAAGCACACTTGAGTGGAAAACCTTGACTTCTCTGTGACTCTGAATTTTTGTGAGAGGTCCAAGCACCATCAGGGACCGAATCTACCATAATGCACCACAATTAGTCATGGGAAAAATTCCTACCACAAAACAGACTGACAAATAAAAATATCACAACACTCTAAGTTTCTTTTAGAAAGTCTGAAGATATGCAAATTGAAACCAAAAGTCACATGGCTACACTGTATACTGAGAAATCTCGCCCATTGAAATATTTACTTTTCATCTGTAAAATTTATATTCTATTGTCTCCTATACATGTACTTATATATATGGTAGGTCACATACATTTACCATCGTTATAGAGGATGAAAATGTAAAAATTAAAGTACAGAAACATTTCTCAGGATACAGTATACAGTATGAAATGGCTAATTAAGAGCTATGACACCTGGCTCCACTGACAGTTAGGGCTGTAACAACCAGTGTATGACAACCACCCTTACTATATATCTCTCCACAATAAATATTTAAAGAATAATACATTATTCTGACATTCAAAATAAATAAAGGTTTTTGTATTTTGCATGTTCATTAGCACAAAAATATGTTTCTAAACTTCAGCAGCACTCAACCTATATAAGATATTACAGTCATGTCCTCTTTGTGACTTTGTAAAGCATGTTGATTGGTATCCCCCAAAACACATTGTAGATAACGAGTATCTTAGGTAACAAGTGACAAAATAATGGGCCTTAACTTGTTTATGTAAAACATACATAAAACTAGAGGTTTCCTGTTTGTGTATCTATGGACACAACAAACATATAAACTTATATTACAATCCTATCTTGTGTAAATCACAACTAGTGACAAAAACCTAAATAGACGATGACATTGCTATCAAGGTCACCATTCAGGTGTTCAGAAAGTTCAAGATGACCACAGCAAAGTTGTGTCAAGATAGTTTAAAAGCTGACTATGGGTCATAGTAAAATTTTGTACCATACTTGACAAAACTATTGATCATCTTTCTCATTTAAATTGCTGTTTTTTTAGAATTTGTCGCTATAAATACAATGAACATGATTATAAAAGTACAGGACTTCTTTTGGCTGACGACAAACAGAAGGGTTCCTACCTACTGGATCTCCTTATCCTTAAGTAAACCTTGTAGTTCGGACACGTATCCACTAGGGTTTCTACCTACTGGATCTCCTTATCCTTAAGTAACCCTTGTAGTTAGGACACGTATCCACTAGGGTTCCTACCTACTGGATCTCCTTATCCTTAAGTAAACCTTGTAGTTAGGACACGTATCCACTAGGGTTCCTACCTACTGGATCTCCTTATCCTTAAGTAAACCTTGTAGTTAGGACACGTATCCACTAGGGTTCCTACCTACTGGATCTCCTTATCCTTAAGTAAACCTTGTAGTTAGGACACGTATCCACTAGGGTTCCTACCTACTGGATCTCCTTATCCTTAAGTAAACCTTGTAGTTAGGACACGTATCCACTAGGGTTCCTACCTACTGGATCTCCTTATCCTTAAGTAAACCTTGTAGTTAGGACACGTATCCACTAGGGTTCCTACCTACTGGATCTCCTTATCCTTAAGTAAACCTTGTAGTTAGGACACGTATCCACTAGGGTTCCTACCTACTGGATCTCCTTATCCTTAAGTAAACCTTGTAGTTAGGACACGTATCCACTAGGGTTCCTACCTACTGGATCTCCTTATCCTTAAGTAAACCTTGTAGTTAGGACACGTATCCACTAGGGTTCCTACCTACTGGATCTCCTTATCCTTAAGTAAACCTTGTAGTTAGGACACGTATCCACTAGGGTTCCTACCTACTGGATCTCCTTATCCTTAAGTAAACCTTGTAGTTAGGACACGTATCCACTAGGGTTCCTACCTACTGGATCTCCTTATCCTTAAGTAAACCTTGTAGTTAGGACACGTATCCACTAGGGTTCCTACCTACTGGATCTCCTTATCCTTAAGTAAACCTTGTAGTTAGGACACGTATCCACTAGGGTTCCTACCTACTGGATCTCCTTATCCTTAAGTAAACCTTGTAGTTAGGACACGTATCCACTAGGGTTCCTACCTACTGGATCTCCTTATCCTTAAGTAAACCTTGTAGTTAGGACACGTATCCACTAGGGTTCCTACCTACTGGATCTCCTTATCCTTAAGTAAACCTTGTAGTTAGGACACGTATCCACTAGGGTTCCTACCTACTGGATCTCCTTATCCTTAAGTAAACCTTGTAGTTAGGACACGTATCCACTAGGGTTCCTACCTACTGGATCTCCTTATCCTTAAGTAAACCTTGTAGTTAGGACACGTATCCACTAGGGTTCCTACCTACTGGATCTCCTTATCCTTAAGTAAACCTTGTAGTTAGGACACGTATCCACTAGGGTTCCTACCTACTGGATCTCCTTATCCTTAAGTAAACCTTGTAGTTAGGACACGTATCCACTAGGGTTCCTACCTACTGGATCTCCTTATCCTTAAGTAAACCTTGTAGTTAGGACACGTATCCACTAGGGTTCCTACCTACTGGATCTCCTTATCCTTAAGTAAACCTTGTAGTTAGGACACGTATCCACTAGGGTTCCTACCTACTGGATCTCCTTATCCTTAAGTAAACCTTGTAGTTAGGACACGTATCCACTAGGGTTCCTACCTACTGGATCTCCTTATCCTTAAGTAAACCTTGTAGTTAGGACACGTATCCACTAGGGTTCCTACCTACTGGATCTCCTTATCCTTAAGTAAACCTTGTAGTTAGGACACGTATCCACTAGGGTTCCTACCTACTGGATCTCCTTATCCTTAAGTAAACCTTGTAGTTAGGACACGTATCCACTAGGGTTCCTACCTACTGGATCTCCTTATCCTTAAGTAAACCTTGTAGTTAGGACACGTATCCACTAGGGTTCCTACCTACTTGATCTCCTTATCCTTAGGTAAACCTTGTAGTTAGGACACGTATCCACTAGGGTTCCTACCTACTGGATTTCCTTATCCTTAAGTAAACCTTGTAGTTAGGACACGTATCCACTAGGGTTCCTACCTATTGGATCTCCTTATCCTTAAGTAAACCTTGTAGTTAGGACACGTATCCACTAGCTAGAACAAAAGACATTAAACACCTTTGTGATTGTACTGAACACTGTCTTCCCCATCACATTTATTATAGGAAACACTGACTTTAGTATACAATACTTCAGTACCCTGTGACTCTCAGTCCAGATCAGGGAACCACTGCTGTAGACATAACTTAACCTACACAATGATATTTAGTGTATAAGGGCACGGCACCTTTAATGAAGCTCTCATAAAACAACTTCTGAATAAAATCACAATAAACTAAAATCTTTCACACAATTTGAATACAATCAATACTTTTATTCTTCAGCAGAGAATGAAAATGTTAGAATCAAGTATTAAAATAGTTAAATTCTATAGATTTAAAAAAAAAGGTACTTGAAATCAATACTTAACCATAAATGGTTCAATGTTTTCAACAATATATGTCAGCATTCTTGGAGGTATAAGAGGGGTATATGTTGGAGATACCATGACAAAGAGGATTCTATACAATGTATGAGCCTACACCCTGGCCATTACACATATACAGGCCAAGCTCACCATGTAACATGCAACTAGGCTTAGCTCATCATGTAACACACAACCAGACCTTGCTCATCATGTAACACACACAACCAGACATAGCTCATCATGTTACACACACAACCAGACCTAGCTCACCGTGTAACACACGCAACCAGACCTAGCTCATCGTGTTACACACACAACCAGACATTGCTCATCATGTAACACACACAACCAGACATAGCTCATCATGTAACACACACAACCAGACCTAGCTCACCGTGTTACACACACAACCAGGCCTAGCTCACCGTGTAATACAAACAACCAGACCTAGCTCACCGTGTTACACACACAACCAGGCCTAGCTCACCGTGTAACACAAACAACCAGACCTAGCTCATCATGTTACACACACAATCAGACCTAGCTAACCGTGTTACACATACAACTAGACATAGCTCACCGTGTAACACACACAACCAGACCTAGCTCACCGTGTTACACATACAACTAGACATAGCTCACCGTGTTACACACAGAACCAGACATAGCTCACCGTGTTACACACACAACCAGACCTAGCTCACCATGTAACACACACAACCAGACCTAGCTCACCATGTAACACACACAACAAGGCCTAGCTCATCATCTAACACACAAAACCAGGTCTAGCTCATCATCTAACACACAAAACCAGGCCTAGCTCATCATCTAACACACAAAACCAGGCCTAGCTCACCAGGTAACACACATAACCAGACATAGCTCACTATGTAACACACACAACCAGGCCTAGCTCACCATGTAACACATACAACCAGGCCTAGCTTCCCTTGTAACACACACAACCAGGCCTAGCTCATCATGTAACACACACAACAAGGCCTAGCTCACCATGTAACACACACACACACACATTATATATTTCCTCTCAGTAACACTTGGACACAAACACATTATATATATCCTCTCAGTAACACTCGGGGACCTCAGACACACACACATTATATATTTCCTCTCAGTAACACTCGGGGACCTCAGACACACACACATTATGTATCTCCTCTCAGTACCAAACACACACTCACACACACATCATATATCCCCTCTCAGTAACACTCAGACACACACACATTATGTATATCCTCTCAGTAACACTCGGGGACCTTAGACACACCCACACACACACACCATACATCTCCTCTCGGTAACACTCGGGGACCTTAGAGACACATACACACATCATACATCTCCTCTCAGTAACACTCAGACACACACACACACATCATATATCCCCTCTCAGTAACACTTGGACACACACACATTATATATTTCCTCTCAGTAACACTCGGAAACACACACATTATGTATCTCCTCTCAGTACCAAACACACACTCACACACACATCATATCTCTCCTCTCAGTAACACTCGGGGACCTTAGAGACACATACACACATCATACATCTCCTCTCGGTAACACTCGGGGACCTCAGACACACACACATTATGTATCTCCTCTCAGTACCAAACACACACTCACACACACATCATATATCCCCTCTCAGTAACACTCGGGGACCTCAGACACACACACACACACGCACATCAAATATCTCCTCTCAATAACACTCGGGGACCTTAGACACACCCACACACACACACCATACATCTCCTCTCGGTAACACTCGGGGACCTCAGACACACACACACACATTATGTATCTCCTCTCAGTAACACGCGGGGACCTAAGACACACACACACACATCATATATCCCCTCTCAGTAACACTCGGAAACACACACATTATGTATATCCTCTCAGTAACACTTGGACACACACACATCATATCTCTCCTCTCAGTAACACTCGGGGACCTTAGACACACACACACACATTATAATCTCCTCTCAGTAACTCTTGGACACACACACATTATATATCTCCTCTCAGTACCAAACACACACTCACACACACATCATATATCTCCTCTCAGTAACACTCGGGGACCTTAGACACACACACACACATCATATATCCCCTCTCAGTAACACTCGGGGACCTTAGACACACACACACACACGCACATCAAATATCTCCTCTCAATAACACTCGGGGACCTCAGACACACACACACACATTCTAATCTCCTCTCAGTAACACTTGGACACAGACACATTATATATCTCCCCTTAGTAACACTCGGACACACACACATTATATATTTCCTCTCAGTAACACTCGGGGACCTAAGACACACACACACATATTATATTATAATCTCCTTTCAGTAACACACACACACACACGCACATCAAATATCTCCTCTCAATAACACTCGGGGACCTCAGACACACACACACATATTATATTATAATCTCCTTTCAGTAACACACACACACACACGCACATCAAATATCTCCTCTCAATAACACTCGGGGACCTCAGACACACACACACATACCTAGCTCACCGTGGAACACATACAACCAGGCGTAGCTTCCCTTGTAACACACCCAACCAGACCTAGCTCCTCGTGTAACACACACACACACATTATATATTTCCTCTCAGTAACACTCGGAAACACACACATTATGTATCTCCTCTCAGTACCAAACACACACTCACACACACATCATATATCCCCTCTCAGTAACACTCGGAAACACACACATTATGTATCTCCTCTCAGTACCAAACACACACTCACACACACATCATATCTCTCCTCTCAGTAACACTCGGGGACCTTAGACACACCCACACACATTATAACCTCCCCTCATTAACACACACACACACACGCACATCAAATATCTCCTCTCAATAACACTCGGGGACCTTAGACACACACACACACATTATATATCTCCCCTTAGTAACACTCGGACACACACACATTATGTATCTCCTCTCAGTAACTCTTGGACACACACACATCATATATCTCCTCTCAGTACCAAACACACACTCACACACACATCATATCTCTCCTCTCAGTAACACTCGGGACCTTAGAGGCACACACACACACACACGCACATCAAATATCTCCTCTCAATAACACTCGGGGACCTTAGACACACCCACACACATTATAACCTCCCCTCATTAACACACACACACACACGCACATCAAATATCTCCTCTCAATAACACTCGGGGACCTTAGAGACACATACACACATCATACATCTCCTCTCGGTAACACTCGGGGACCTTAGAGACACATACACACATCATACATCTCCTCTCGGTAACACTCGGGGACCTAAGACACACACACACATATTATATTATAATCTCCTTTCAGTAACACACACACACACATCATATATCCCCTCTCAGTAACACTCGGGGACCTAAGACACACACACACACACGCACATCAAATATCTCCTCTCAATAACACTCGGGGACCTTAGAGACACATACACACATCATACATCTCCTCTCAGTAACTCTTGGACACACACACATCATATATCCCCTCTCAGTAACACTTGGACACAGACACATTATATATCTCCCCTTAGTAACACTCGGACACACACACATTATGTATCTCCTCTCAGTAACACGCGGGGACCTAAGACACACACACACATATTATATTATAATCTCCTTTCAGTAACACACACACACACATCATATATCCCCTCTCAGTAACACTCGGGGACCTCAGACACACACACACATACCTAGCTCACCGTGGAACACACACAACCAGTCCTAGCTCACCATGTGACACACACAACCAGACGTAGCTCACCGTGTAAAACATACAACCAGACCTGGCTCACCGTGTAACACACACGACCAGATCTAGCTCACCGTGGAACACATACAACCAGACCTAGCTCACCGTGTAACACACAAGAGATAATCATTTTCCAATATGTTGATGATTTTTTTTTTACTTTGTGGAAACTGTAAATAAAATGCCATCAACTTTTCACGACAAATGTAAGAGATTATTATTTGGCAAATGCCAGAAATGCAAGGTTAACCTACCCCATTAGGCATGCAGTTTAATATCGACCTGTCATATCACAGTAGGCATGCTGGGTAGTGTGTAAAATGGGTAGTTTTTAATAAAACATACCCCAGAAATGCTAATTAAGATCATTGAATTGCAAGTGTAAATTGTAAAAGTTCTCAACTGTAAAATTTCTACGAAGTAAAAATGTATAAAGAGGCTGTAAAAGGTAGGAAGGTATTACACACAATATACATCTCCTCTCAGTAACACTCGGACACACACACATTATATATCTCCTCTCAGTAACACTCAGACACACACACATTATATATCTCCCCTTAGTAACACTCGGACACACACACATTATATATCTCCTCTCAGTAACACTCGGACACACACACATTATGTATCTCCTCTCAGTAACACTTGGACACACACACATTATATATCTCCTCTCAGTAACACTCGGACACACACACATTATATATCTCCTCTCAGTAACACTTGGACACACGCACATCATATATCTCCTCTCAGTAACACTCGGGGACCTAAGACACACACACACACACACATTATAATCTCCTCTCAGTAACACACACACACACATCATATATCTCCTCTCAGTAACACTTGGACACACACACATCATATCTCTCCTCTCAGTAACACTCGGGGACCTTAGACACACACACACACATATTATACTATAATCTCCTTTCAGTAACACACACACACACACGCACATCAAATATCTCCTCTCAATAACACTCGGGGACCTTAGACACACACACACACACATTATAATCTCCTCTCAGTAACACACACACACACACACACACATCATATATCTCCTCTCAGTAACACTCGGGGACCTTAGACACACCCACACACACACACCATACATCTCCTCTCGGTAACACTCGGGGACCTTAGAGACACATACACACATCATACATCTCCTCTCAGTAACACTCGGGACCTTAGAGGCACACACACACACACACACGCACACACGCACACATATATCAAACCAGTGGAAACATGATACACACCATTACACAACAGGTCAAGTCAGATAAACTAGTGACAAGATAACAACCATCTTAGATGATCATACCTAGATTTTAATCCCCATAAGAACACACTCTAATATTTATCCTCATATAAACACACATAAATGTTTATCCTACACCCTATCCATCACTGCTGCATCCTTGTTGCTTGTCTTTCTCAGCGTTGAAATTCGTGTGCGTACCCACTCAAGTGCATGTGAGATTCGTTTGACATGTTTTGCATGTGTACGAGTGATATCACGTATATCCTCAAAATTGAGCTGAAGTAGGTCCTCCATGGCTGACATTTTCTCCTCCAGGAACATACTGGTGTACATGGGAAGGCCGATGGAGGTGAAGAACTCGGGAATGGACGAAATCTTTATCTCGCACGCCTTAGCTGCAGAGTCGGGCAAATCACGTGACAGCACCTGTTAGGAACAGAAAGTTGATTACACAGAGTTGCCTCCCCTTACAGCTATCTTAAATGACAAGGCTTTTATGAACTATCATTATTTGGTATAATCAATGAGTATTCAAAGTAAGAACAATGTACCGACAGTTTATAAACGAGGTAGACAGAACAATGTACCGACAGTTTATAAACGAGGTAGACAGGACAATGTACCGACAGTTTATAAACAAGGTAGACAGAACAATGTACCGACACTTTATAAACGAGGTAAACAGAACAATGTACCGACAGTTTATAAACGAGGTAGACAGAACAATCAAGGGCAGAAGTGAATTTCCCAAACAGAAATTGAATGTTGATGTTCACTGACCGCTGGTCTGTGTCGACTGCACAGTTGTTGGACACGGACTTGGTCGACCACCAGAGCCACACTGACTAGGTCCTGTCTCAGCTCATCTGCATACCGCTGGACTAGGAGTGGAGGAATTCCACACTCACCTGCCTAAAACACAACACGGGACACGTATATATACTGTGTTAATCCTAAAAATATGTCGTCCTACTTGGTCATAGAAATAGGCTCATCGTTAAAATCTTTACACATGAACAAAAAAATAATCAAGCTCCTACATGATAAACTATTTCAGGTCAGTATGGTGCTATATCATCCTCAAAGCATAGCACAAACATCTTTAGCTGGGAGTGAGATACATTTAGATTTGTTACAGAATCACAATGGACTTGCTGTTAATACATCAGAACTAGGCAGTGCTGTTAACACTAATCTCACCAGTGACTGTACCTACCTTTGTAGAGTAGGGTTCTAACACTAATATCACCAGTGACTGTACCTACCTTTGTAGAGTAGGGTTCTAAGGCAAGATTTATGTTTTCTGACACAAGTTTTGATGTGATGAGATTAAGGAGAGAACGCATCACTGTTCGGTACTCTGGGGGGTCCTCTGGCTTGGTTCTTTTGACACTGGCCCTGTCTGCAGACATAGATCGCCTTGACAACTGACCTACACTACGGTACCCTCCATCATCTGGCCGGGACACACTGCGATATCCCCCACTATCTGTCTGGCGGAGATTGGCCCCCTGGGGATTACTGAGCACTAGAGAGGTGGGAGGTGTATTGTGAGTCATGTGGGGGTGCAGTGGCACCCCCTCACCATCCTGTACACCTTCAGCATTTAGGTTCAGGCTTCCTAATGGGCACATGACCTGGACCTGAACATCTCGAAAATTCCAGTCCTGTCTGGGAACACATTTACGTGGAAATGGAGGTGCACTATGTAATGGTGAACACACACTGCCCTCCTGTGACTGACTAGAAGACACAAAATCACCGTTTGTGCTGCCACTTTGGCGCATGTGGGCTTTGGGTGAGGATAGATTATTGGCTGAATTATCACAGTTGGCTCTCCCATAGGTAGGAGAAGTTTGCGTACCCGCGAAGTTACACATGATGACAGCGTCACCAGACAATCCTGAGAGGTCATTGGTGGCAGCCTTACTAGTTAGGGTTGTGTTACAATCCACGCTATTGGTAATCTCGCTGACCTCCCGATCCTCAGCAGTATACTCTTTATCACTCCTATCTAAGTCCTCAGAATTCTCTGAGCTACCCACACCAGAGTGCCCCCTTTGGGGTCGCGTTATTGCCAGGCCTGGGGCACCAGCCCGAGCTCCAGGGGAGATGTTCTCCTTGTTGGAATGTAAACAATACTGCTGCTTGAGCTCACTCGTGGTTGGGTAAGCATCCCGCTGTGCCAAATGTTCAAAGCTTGCATAGCAACCCGAGTCTTGACTTGGGGGATAGGATGTGCCATGTCGATATTCCTTGTTCATGAAGGCTACAGGGGGTCCTGCCCGCCCCTGGTGGAACTTCCAGTGCAGTGTCGGTGTGTCTGTAACAAGAATTGATAACATTTCGATATTACGAGTTTAAACAGTTCTATATTTAATTATTACATAATGATTTCTGTTAAAGTTACCTCCCTTAATATAATTCAGCATTTTTTTAAGCAGTAAATCATTACTGTTTCTGGGGGTTTTACGGACAATTATCGCTTATAAAAGCTTTACCACTGATATAAACTACAGTCAAACCCCACTTACTCCAACTCGGTATACTTAAATACCCTATATTCCTCAAACAGTTCGCTTGGGGCCGGCCGTGTTCTTATATATTTTTTGTAAATTAACCTCGGATTACTTGAACAGCCGTTGCTCGAATACTCCTGGAACTCTTATTTATCCCTGACCCCTCAAAACCTTAATATTTTATATATACTAATCGTCGAACAGGTAGACACACCCGTGTGTATACAGGTGTCAGCTGGACGTCAGATAATTAAAGGAATAATGGCAGTATCATTAAGTAATTGTACTATTACCCTGTTGTAGCTGCATTATCATTTTGTGTGCATATTTACTATTTCCAGACAATGTTTTTACATCGATGATTTGGTGGATGTGTTAATTCACTGGGTGTGTAAAACCATATTTTGGCAATATTAAGCGAAAATCATATAGCGGATTCTCGACCATGTTTAAAGATATTCAAGCTTGAATAAGCTGTGATTTTAACCAACATTATGATAACAGGGAGTGAACATTTTCTTCATTTTTAATGATTCAAGAGTTCCTCTCGTTTTGTTATTTTGTAAAATTAACGTAGCCGATTACAATACGGCGGATAAGATCAAAACAACAAGTACGTTACACATGCTGCTCTTTTTTTTTTTTTCCTTTCTTAATACCGATTACTGTAAGTTTCCATTATTCAGCTATTTTATATCTTATTAAACGTTGCTATCTTTGTGAACTTCATTTTTACTTTTATCATATACTATCCGCGATAACTGCAGTGCTCTTACTGTCTGTCATCCTACCTGATAAAAAAAATGACAATGTTGATCGAACCTCGGATTCGTCGAATACCATGTATTCCTCGAACTATTGATCTGGACTCTAGGAGTTTGACTTAGTGGGGCTTTACTGTATATAAAATAACAAAATACATCATTGTTGATATCAACTATATCTCTGATATAATATACAATTATAGCCTTTGGCTGAGGTCGATACCTGGATACAACCATAATCCTGATTTAAGTTAACGGGGATTACAGAAGTATGCTGTAGAGTTAGCTAACCTTGAGTGTTTTTGATGAGATCTGCTGTACTGAGCAGTTTGGTCCTGATCAGAGGGTCAAATATCCCCAGTAAATCAAGGTCCTCCTCATCAACATCAGCAAAACAGTCGAGCTCATCAAACCCGTTCTGGATAAACACTGCCTCCAGGCTCTGACAACAACAATAATCAAGGTGTAAAACATCTTACCAATAGTATACCCGAGTTTGTGTTTTATAACATTTCCATCATTACAAAGTAACTATTACAATCTACCTCCAGCTCTGTGATCTGGTATCTATGACAACTAACATCCACCTGACAGCCTACACTAGCCCTATGATCTGGTAACTATGACAATTTACTCTAGTTGTATGATCTGGTATCTATGACAACTAACATCCACCTGACAGCCTACACAAACCCTATGATCTGGCCATTATGACAAGTTTACTCTAGTTGTATGATCTGGTATCTATGACAACTAACATCCACTTGAGAGCCTACACTAGTCCTATGATCTGGCCATTATGACAAGTTTACTCTAGTTGTATGATCTGGTATCTATGACAACTAACATCCACCTGACAGCCTACACAAGCTTTATGATCTGGTAACTATGCCAACCTTACTCTCGTTCTATGATCTGGTATCTATTACTCTCGTTCTAAGGTCAGGTATCTATGAAAACCTACCGTAGGCATTTGATCTGGTTACTCTGACAACTAACCTCCAGCCCTATGACCTGCAGCACCTCCTGTACAGTTTTGGGTTTGTTGGGTCGCCGGTCCAGCCAGGGCTCCAGAGCAGTTTCTCCTGTGTACAGGGGCTCTATACACGATGCTCTGAACCAGCCAGTTTTTCCCTTGAGCACCCCTCTCCACAGGTCCCCCGGAGGCTTGTACAACACACGGATGACATCCCCCTTCTGTAACACATCAAATACACTCAACTGTGTTTGGTACAGTCACAAAATCAAGTCTTTTCACACTATACACTTATTATAGCAAACCCAATCCTCAGCGATACATGGAGTATCTATCTATAACAACACATCAAATTGGCAGCATTCACTTTTGAACTCTTTAACTACCATTAATGACATAGGGACATCTACAAAATCAAGGAGATAGCAAAGTAACAACATCATCACTGTGGTATTTATCTGCCATGTGAGCTCATCCCTACTGTTTGGGGTCAGGACGAAGGCACTGAGGTACTTACCTGTAGTATGAGGAAGTCCCTACTGTTTGGGGTCAGGACGAAGGCACTGAGGTACTTACCTGTAGTGTGAGCTCATCCCTACTGTTTGGGGTCAGGACAAAGGCACTGAGGTACTTACCTGTAGTGTGAGCTCATCCCTACT